CGACGGAGCGCGCGTCCGTTGCGATGATGACACCTTTCGCATTGCTCCACCTATGACACGGATCGTCCGGCAGGATGCAACAGATCGACTTTTCCGAAAACTTGCATTTTTCTCGGTCCGCTTCTATTCCCCGATCGCTGTACAACGCAACGACCGCCATATTATTCGACGCACAAGGTACCATCGTTGCGAGAATCTCCTTCGGGAGAGGGCCCTTTACGCCGAAGCACACCCTGTACCAGAAACCGGGCGTCGTGCCGTACCACGATTCGTTGATCACCCACGATGCTCGAAAGTTTCGGGATCCTTCGGATAAAGCGGTCGTCGTCGGATCGATCACGAACGAATCGGCAACCACAACGCGAGCGTTCCGGTGACTCGTCTTCCAGGTTCTGGTAGCGGAAAAGTAATCGTTGGAGTAGCACGAGTAGATTCCGGAAGCGTCGAGATCGACTCCGACCACCTTCAGCACTGTCTCTTATACACATCTAGATGTGTATAAGAGACAGCACACACACACAATATATATATATATATATATAAATTCTATTTCAATTCAACTCTACTACATATGATATACTGTATGTGACATTCAATTATGGATATATTATTAGTTTATAGACCAGGTGGTCAAGGAGTTATGAATACACATTTTTTTAACTTAAGCTCTTTGTACCATAAGTCAATGTGAATGGTTTTTAATTTCTCTATAATTCATAAGCCATAAAAATAGATAAAGTGAATGTGGGTTTTTTTTTTTGTAAACATAAAATAAATGTGGAAATATTGTTTCTAACAATAATTTGAAATAAGCTGCGAAGATTAATGTTCAAATTTTTTAAATTCATCAAATATAATTTAATTTCTCATATTTTAATTAAATTTTAATTTAGAGGTATGTCATTTCTTTTTAGTATTTTAATTAGATTTTTTTTTTATTTTGTTTGTATTCTTATTATAAGTCTTGCTTCTTAATGTATTTGTAGCATTTCCTAATTAATATATTTTTACCCCTTTGCTTCCAAATTCTATTTACTTATAGCACATTAATTATGAGACTTTGAACTAATAAATACTGGAACATAAAAAATGTTTGATGAAGTTAAAGAATATCAAATAATGTTTTTATTACTATTCTAGGTTTTATAGATTATCCTCCTTTCCTGTGTTACTCAAACAAACAATATTAACCACAACAATATTTAATTTATGCATGAGAACAGCTACATATGGTCATGATGACATCACATCATGCCCATATATAAGCTTTTCATGACTATAATACTAATGGTATAATCATGTAATGTTCATATTGCTTTACTGGTTGTGCCTATCAGAGTCTTGTGGAGACTGTGGCAAAAAAGGAAGCCTCCTTTTTTTTAAGAAGTTTGAGGAAGAGAAACTTATCAACTTGGCCTTACTGTAATTCCAAATTTTCATTTTAATATCAGAAAGATTATGGGTGGGTTTAGTTATTGCTGCTTTACTCATTTTCAGAATCTACTTAAATTATGGTTAATTAAGTAGAGATTGTCAGCTAAGCTCATGATATTAGCAAGCTGTTCAGTCCGTTGAATTCAACATGATGTTGTGTTGAAGCATGCCTCAAAGAGCCTACAGCAAGTCTTCAGCATATTTTAATAAGTACAACAATATTTAATTAGTGCTAGAAAACATCTAAATCCCTGTCCATACTGTAAATTGATTTGACAAAAATGTGACATGCTTTTTAATAATTGTCATGATGACATCACATCACAAGCGTATAATATGCACATCGTGACTATATATGGGCATACAACCATTTTTTGTAAAAGAAAATATGATACTGTAGTCTAGAGAGAGCCTTAGAAGAAAAATACAGTTGGTTATATGCAAAGATTCCCACCACCTCCATTTTACTACCATTTTCTGGCCAAAACAATAAATCCGCCATTACCCGAATGTCAAATTTATAATAAATAATAAATAAATAAATGAATATCCAGCATCTTGTAACAAAGGTGTTGAAAATATTAACATAACATTATTGTTTACATCTGGACGCAGGGTTCCCGGAACGCCGCCCTCAGCGGCGAGTGCGAAGCACAACACAGGCTCAAAAGTGGAACGTGAATTTGGATATGGTTTTGTAGTCAGATTTGCGAGAAAAGCTTCAGCTACCCGTATTTCTCGACTGAGACGTCAGTAGGAGCTGTAATTTGTATGCCAAGGAGATTGAGCAACCCTTCATTCATATTAAGGGAATTTACGCCCAGAAACTTTGTAGTTATTAATATTTTGGTTATGATAGAAAATATTCATTTTTTGGTGACGTCACACTCACTTTAGTTAGCATGCATACGTCATAAGGTAGATACGTCACCTTTTCCTAGTAAGGCAAACTTTCCCGGCGTGCTTTTTTCATGGATAAACAAACACCACTGGTTTGCACATGGATGCCTTGCCCAAGCCAGGGCTACAAGAACCGCATTGTTAGATGCATTGTATAATACTTAAATAAGGTACCTCTGCAAATGAATTATTCTTAGTTATTTTTTTTTTTTTAATTTATTTATTCCGAAAGTGTACTTTCTATCACATTTAATTCCACTGTCTTAGTTAGGCCTAGGCCTAGTCTTATGCCTCATCGTCCCCAGCTACACAGTACATCAGGAGCCCTCCCCCATACAGTACAGACGTCTGCTAGGTAACAACGTGATTGCACCTTCCTTCCAATGTGTTCATGTAACATTGACATAATTGTTAGCTAACCAGTTGTGTGTATTTCTTTGTGAAAATGAGTACCGCGGCGTACTCATTTTCACAAAGCATCATTTGCATCCCCTCTTGGAAAGAGGGAATCGAAATAATTGTCTCCATATCTTCGCTAATTAAATTAATCACCGTAATTTAGCTTACACTTATGAATTTAGGGAGCACTTAAAATGTGAAATAATCATTTCACTACCCGACAAACTCCGAACTTTATACATTCAGTAGGCCTACATAATAGTTTCATATTGCTGTACTATATACTCCAACATCACTGGCGCATGGTAACAACCAACTGACTGCAGACCATTTCCGGTCACACATTAATCTCCATAACACAGCACCCCCTAGTTCCGTCACCTCTGGATCCATTAAAACTAAAATAATTAATTGGTTTGATTTATATGATGTTTTGATGATTGGTCGTCCTTGGGACCCTCCCACTAAGTGGTCGTGGACACAAACTTTAACACATTTTTACATTAACCTTAATATTTAAATTGGAGTCAAGCAGGGCATTTCTCCTCCATAGACTTTCAATGCTCTAATCAGCTTATCAGTTTTTCTTTGACAAAAAACTGTTGTATGCCCATATATAGTCATGATGTGCCTATATATAGACATGATATAATAATAATAATAATAATAATAATAAATTTAGCCAATGAAAGTAGATCAGTTATTGGTAGCCATTGACAAGAAAATCTATTTATTTGTAAAATAATATTTGATAGTGTGAGTAGGGCTGGCTTTTTAACCTTTATGCGTTCTAGATTATCCCACAATTATCAGTATTATGCCTAACATTTACTGTGCCTAAAGTATGTATATTCTTATCTTATTGTCTATTATTATATATAATTATGCCTGTACTTAACATCCTTTCTTTCTTTGTTCGTAAAGTAACTCTGAATTCTTTAATCAAATAATACGAACTGTTACTGCACAAAAAAATAAATTGCTTTATAGTGTGTTGAGTGTGAGAAAATACCGTAGAATAGGTTTACTAATGTAAGCTTTTTCAAATATCATTATCCTATTAATTCTGTCTCAGCTGATATTGGTTCTTTTGATGTGTTTCTGTAAGATACGTTAACTATTGTACTACTAAAAGGTTCAACCCAAAAAAAAATAGAAGTGGCAAAGAAATACAAGACTTTGATCTCTCCACAAAGCAATAAAGTCCAGAAAAGCATCTTTGTACTGTAAACTGTTTAAAATTAGGTTTTCATGAGAATAGAAAGGTAAATATTAACCAGAGTCACAAGGCAGTGAACCGGAATAATCTCCATCCGGATGCCACCACAATGTATTTTATCGATGAACAGTTTGTATGTTATGTTCCCTTTGTGTCTGTGGTGGTGTGTGGGAAAGGCAATACTACTTCCTTATTTAATTCGGATCAACCAAAGTTAAAAGAGTGCATACCTTATGGTGCTGAATGGTCAAAGTTTTGATCTTGGGAAGGAGGGTCATGTGTTATTATTGAGGGGGTAGAGTCCTATCAATCATGTGTTGAGACTAGGGAGGGGTAGTTAGCAATCAATCATAGGTACTATGGTAGATGTGGTTGGCAAGGACTGGGGTAAATGCCAATGTTTGTGTTGAATTGAAAAGATATGTGGGGACTAGGCTGAATGAATGCCAATAATGTGGAGATAATGGAAATCATTTTTGAGGAGTACTGTAGAGTAGGTGCTGTTTATGTTGACCGGTTTATCATTTTTTGTGAGTTTTTTTCTTTTTTTTGTTGAGGAGGGGTTTCACAACATTTTCAGAATAGATTTCAATACATAACATTGATATGCTTTGAAATTTAACAGGCCCCTACCCTTAAACCCCTCCCCCTTAAACCCCATCCCTTTCCCACTAATGGATCCATGCCTTTGATGAATAAGTCTTGAACTAGGTTTTTTTGATAAATTTGATTCATTTTAGCCTGAAAAACTGTAGTACAACAGAGATGACAAGTCATTGATTTATTAAACACGGATTTGGCTTCAATATCCGCTGCCTTTAAGCTATCAAGGAGAAATGAGGAGCATGAGAAAAAAGGTGCGAAAAAAGAATCCCCGGAAATTGAAAATCTTGCTCTAAGATGGAAGACGTAATCTCTGATTTGATGGAATTTAAATAGTTGGTTTTCTTACCTTTTCTTTTTAATTCTACGTGTTAAATATTATGTAACAATAATATTAATTTAATAATGATAATTAGTAATAGTGATGGAAAATAATTAAGCAATAAATTGTTAATAACAATAACTAAGTAAAAATAATGATGAGTAAATATATTTTTTAATTTTAATTTTTTAGTATGTCTGCGGCAGGCAAATGTAATGGATGTGTGTGCCTTACAAGATGTCATTATTATATCAACCTGATAATTGCACAAATAGCATTTTATGTACAGTATCTTACTCCAGAACTCACACTATGATATCATTTTAAGTTGTTCTTTTTTTGTACATTTTGTAGTTTGAAGATTTTTATTTATTTTTTTATAATTTGATTTGTTTTGTTCTTTGTTCCACATCTAATATCCACAATACAGATAATATAATGGATAAATTATTGCCAAAAAAAGAGGCAATTAAAATATTATGTAACTTTGATTTATTAATAATAACAATATAAAAATAGTCATTTTTTAATGCCAGTTGAGTCAAAAGAACTTTAGGTCTATGAGAATATTTTACTCTGGGTGAATAAATCTATATAATTACACTATATCTAATCTGACCTACTCTTGGGAAATATTTGTGCATGTGTACTTTTAAGGATACAGTTGTTATTATACATAACCTTTTTCTAAATTATGTATTTAATTAAATAAAAACAAAATATAACAATACTGTTAATCTGAATTCCCTATTAACCAAATTGCAAAAAATAAATAGCTCCATTTAGATGAATTACAAACCAATTATGTGAATGAAAACAAAAACCCATCATCATTAAAAAAATATATCAACAATACAAACAACACTGTTCTTGTTATCGCTCGATCTTCCCTGTGCAGACATACCTAAATATGGTCATGATGTCATCACATCATGACCATATATAGGCACAACATGACTATATATGGGCACAACATGACTATATATGGGCATATAACAGTGTTTGTCAAAGAAAATTTGATAGTGTGGACAGACTTTAAATCCTAAATGCACAGATAGACCTATCACATGGTACAGGTGAATTGCGGAGGCATGGGCGTTGTTTGTTCGCGTTAGTATGAATTAAATATTAGAGAGTATGATCAATCATGTCAATAGCTATAGCATATGTAGCCTAGTACGAGGTTAGTGTATTTTTAAGTGGAATACTATTTGTGAGTGCGTAGGAGTATGGAAGTATGATTGTACTGTAGGCCTACTCATACTATACTGTTGTACTTTTCTGCATCTGTGAATCTATTCGATATAAAGCCTGTTTTTCACTAGGCGAATTTATTCACTCGAATCCCAAGCATCGATTCATGCACATTTACATTCCTATCAGAGTTTTTCCAAAACAAAAAAAATTACGCAACCAATTAGAGCTCAGGAAGCGAACCGACACTTCGATTTGCGCGAATAAATTCGCCTAGTGGAAAAACAGCTTAACACTGTGAATCGTCAATAGTAATTATATATCACTATGAAACTTACTCCTGTGCAGTATAATATTTTGTTGAGAAATACAATTTTCTTATGGAGCATAGCATACCATCTTATGTGGAGTATCTGCTTACATGGCCACATAGAAGGAGTGACACTTACCCAAGTACGGCTTAAGTAATAATTATTTTCTGGATCTTAAATTGCATCTGGTTTCATTAATTTTCTTTTTTCATATTTTTGACTTTCTTGAGGACACCATAAGTTTTTTTTCCTTAAACGGATACCAAATAATATTATTGTTGTTGTTATTATTATTATTATTATTATTATTATTAAATTTTTTCAATGCAAGAAAAACCTACCTTTATTGTTTAAGCCTTCGTTTGTCACATCAAAAACAAAATTATTACTATTTATTTTTGTTGAAAAGTGTTTGATTATTTACAAATACAACATCAC